CAGTAGTTGATGCTCTTTCTAGGCTACCACTGGTGGAGTTGGCAGCTCTTACTCTCTCTACAGTGAAAATTGATCTTCTAGAAATGATTAAGCAGAGTTAGACTTCAGATCCTGAAGTTAATGTGATAACACAAAGCTTGGATAAGGGAACTGATGTATATCCAGGGTATACAATCTTACATGGTCAACTAAGGAGGCCGGGGAAACTGGTCATAGGAGCAGATGCTCAACTAAGATCCAACCTCATTCAACTTTGGCATGACACTATGGTGGGAGGACACTCTGGTATTGAGAATACCTACAAAAAGTTAACTGCATTGGTTTATTGGAAGGGGTTGAGAGATGATGTACATGCTTACGTCAAGGCATGTGATGTATGCCAAAAAAATAAATATGACAATGCTAGCATCAACATGGACTTCATTGATGGGCTTCCTAGGTACAAACAGAAAATAGTGATATGGGTGGTAGTGGATAGGCTGACAAAGTATGCCCACTTTGTGTGTCTTGCTCACCCTTATTCAGCTCATGATGTTGTCAGTCTGTTCTTAGAGCACATTTACAAACTTCATGGGGTGCTTGAAGACATTGTGAATGACAGGGACCTTGTGTTTACAAGCAAGGTTTGGCAGGAGTTGTTTGCAATGTTAAGAGCGACCCTTAACACTTCCACTACATACCACCTACAAACAGATGGTCAAACAGAAGTTGTTAACAGGTGCTTGGAGACCTACCTTAGATGTTTCTGTTCAGATTCACAGAAGGACTGGTCGACCTATTTAGCAATTACTGAATGGTGGTATAATACCATTTTTCGCTCTTCTATACAACAAACTCTTTATGAGGCACTATATGGTCAACCACCTCCCTTACATTTGCCATAATTTGCTTGAGATTCAGCAAACGAAGAAGTAGACAGAACACTTCTTACAAGGAAGTTTAAGCTGCAACAATTGAGGTATCACTTAAAGAAGGCTCAACAAAGAATGATTGATCAAGCAAATAAACATAGGTCGGATAGACAGTTATGCATTGGGGATTGGGTGTACTTAAAATACAACCATACAGACAAATCACTCTATCAAAAACTCATTTCACAAAACTTTTTTCCAAATACTATGGACCTTATCAGATACTAGAAAAGGTAGGTGTTGTAGCATATAAAATCTCAGTCCCGAGTAAGTTGTTACTTCATCCAACATTTCATGTCTCTCGGCTAAAGAAGTGACATTATTTACCAATTGAAATATACCACCCACCAGTCATTGATATATCTAGTCCCTACTGCCCTCAACCAATGAAGATTATGGATAGAAGAATGGTTCAAAAAGGAAACAAGGCTATCACTCAAGTTAAAGTGCATTGGGTTCAGTTTCCTCCCGAACAAGCTACTTGGCAAGATTATCATGCCTTGTTAGTAAGGTTTCCTTCTTTTCTTCCTTGAGGTCAAGAAAGTTCTTTAACATTGAGGGACTGATACGAGTGAAGTTGTACATCAAGCCTTAAGACGTATACATGGTAGTTATAGGTAAGAAGTAGTATTATTAGTTACTTTCAGTATTTACAAATAAGACCCCAAAAGTAAATATGTTATTTACTTTTGGTACTCAGTAGCTAGTACAGTGTGTCAGGTGGTTATTTCCTATTCTATCCAATTTAGGGATATATATATAATAGCATGTGGGAGAGTTAATGAGAATTATCATCTATCTTTTGCCCTAAGTTTCTTTATCTAGCTAGCACCTTTTCTTCTCGCATTTCTTTTGTTTATTTCTGATCTTGCAACATTCTCGCTAAGAAGAGGGGTGCGCCGGTGGCTGTTGGTCGCCCCCGCCGGTCGGAGTTGCTTCTTGGAGCAATCGCTGCTGCTGTTGATATTTGTCTCGAGTGGCTATCTCGCAGTCGGAACGAAAAAGGAGGAGAGAACCGGTGAAGGTCGGGGCTCGCCTGGTCCTTGCTCGCTTCTGTCTTCACTGGAGAAGAGATAAAGTAGGGGAAGAAGAGGAGTTTGGGGGTAGCATTATCGAGAAGAGAAAAATATGGGAGGAGAGAGAGAGAGAAAGCTCTCGCCGGTTGGTTTCGCCAGCGATGGATGGTCTCGCCGGAGGAGTAGGGCGAGAAGAGAGGGAGAGGGGGTCTAGCGGGGCTGATCTACAAGGGAAAAGAGGAAGAATGAATTATGTTAGGATTTTGGGTCTTTTGGTATTAAAAATGAAAGTAAAGGTTGGTCAATCTTGATCGTTGGATCAATGAAAATGAACGGCCAGGATAGGATCTTGGAATTGACACAAATGATGAACGGTTAAGATTGATTCTTGAATCTGATTTGGAATTGGTTGGACTTGGAATGGCTAAAATTGAAATAAAATTGGCTAGAATTGAAATGGAAAGGTGGTTACAATTGAAACGAAATTGAATAGGATAGGCTACGAATTAAATAAATTGGAATAGAATAGACTAAAATTTAAATGATATAAGGGAAAATTAGGGAAGTGCCATTCAATTAATAAAAATCTTCACATATTAAAGTATTTTCATATAAGCATAAACACACCTAAATTTTAAAAACATTTAAATGAATAAGCAAAGTAATTATTTTGAATTTAAAATTGATAAATATAATAATTTAATAATAATAAAATACCCTAATAGTAGTAATAATTAAAATAATTTTGTAAATTATCAATACTAAAATATATTATTATTTAAGACAAAATTGAATAAAATTTTAAACACGTACTAAAAGTAAATATGTTTTAAAATACGTATTTAATTGAATAGCACTTCCGAAAGGGTTATAGGTCGGTAAAAATTGGGTTTCAACAATGACTTTATTATGTTTTTGTATGAAATCATGCACATGACATCTGCATTTGGCATGCTTGTATTTTGAAACAAGTGAAAGATATACTTGGGACCTGCAAATGTTTTGAAATAATTTTCCGCGTGTATTCAACTCAGAGGGAGCGGGTTAATATTTTACTGACAAAAATTGGGTACTTAAAAGGAAATGCTCTATTTTTGAGGTTTTATGCCTTAAAAGGATTATTATTTTAAACCTTTCGGATTTACCATCGGAGTAAAAGAGAGCGGTTTTCTTTAAATTTGCACTCTTCCACTTTTTAGTGAAAGAGGTACTAGGTTATTTGATATTGTGACCTTTTTGGATATTTCCGGGTTTCACTATATGCATTCTACATATGTTGATAAGTTATGATGGTTCACAGACTGAATTCAAAATTTTATGACTATTGCATCTAAAGATGAGCTGAGGCGGATTCTGTAGTTGTCCCGGGATCCCACAGGATGGTCAGCAAGACAATTTCAAACTTCTTACTTTATTCATGCATTGGTGACATGTGCATTACATAGCTTGGTGTTACTGTCTGTTTGTGATTTATTGACTTGTATGGTATGGATTCGTTGCTTTTGCCTTTTTCACCGTCATTAATGATTGTTTACTTCTACTTACCTATCAAACATTATCGTTAGTATATATATATTCCTAGCATGAGTCACCCTCATTGAGCATTGGATCTCCCGTGGACATCGCAGACTTGGATTGTGGTGAACTCTTGTTGTCTAGAGACTTACTACTTTTTCCTCTTTTGTAAGGTCTATGTATTTTATATATTGATTAGACTGAGTCGAGGTCTGATCTTAGGTCGGGTATCAGAGTTATGGTCGAGGTCGGATTGGGTATCGAATCAGATTTAGGGTCGGGTAAGAGTCGAGTGTCGGGTTGAGTGTCAAAAGCATTTTATTCTGAAGTTGGATCCTGAATTAGAAATTGAGTTTGGGAGTCGAGGTCAGACCGGGGTCAAATCTCGAGTTGGGTTCAGATATTGGGTCGGGTGTCATGGTCGAATTACGATTCAAAAGTTTGATCCTGAGTTAGAGGGGTCAGGAGTTAGGATCGAGTCTTAGGTCGGGATCAGGTCTTGGTTGAGGTCGGGTCTCGGGTTGGAGTCGGGGTCAAGTTTGGGTGTCGGTATCATATTCTAGTTGAAATGTTAGGTCTTTAGATTGAAAGCCAGAGTTAGGTCCTGGATTGGTTCTTGGGATCGTAGCTCAATTCGGATCATGGTCAGAGTCGAGTTCCAATTCGAATGTCGGGTCTCATGTTGGGAGTAAGGGTCATGTACGAGATCAGTTGCCAGTATCGGGGTGGTTTCCAGATCAGAAACCTTTTTTCTAAAAAGTATTTTCCATACTCTAGAAAAAATAAAATATATTTTCTAAAAACATATTTCATTCCCCAATCATAGACTGGAAAATATTTTTCAATCACCAACCAAACATAAGAAAATAAGTTATAAAAAAATATTTTCTAGGAAAACATTTTCCTTCATACCAAACACATCCATAAAGTCATCATGGTCTTAAAGTGGTGAGGCGCGCAAATTATTAAAATTAAAATTTATTATTACTTGCCTATTTTTCTTGTCTTAATTGATATATTTCAACTACGAAAATTTAGTGGTCACAGGGTTACTTTACTAAATTAATCATATTAGTTATGCTTTAAATTTTTTAATGTAATCACTATTCCCTCTGTCCTAAAAAACTTGTTACATTTTTCATATATATGCCCCTTAAGAGAATATTGATTAGGATGAGTATTTGACTATAAGACTTTATTCCCTCTATTCCATATTAATTTAATTTTTGAGGTTTTTTTCATTATTTAAAATAATTGAATTGTTCAAAGTTCATGGATATTTGATTTTTTTTTTCCATATTTACCCTTACTTTTAATGAAATTTGATATTTTTAGGAGATAAATATATTATTAGAAAAAAATGTGAGTGGAAGTCCCAAAAATCTAAAAAAAAACCCTTGAAAACTAGTTTGACCCAGTTTTTGAGAATCTAAAAATATTTTATGCTTGAATTTTTAAAATCACACCAAACTACATGGCAAAATTAATATCGGAAGATAAAATTTTAAAATTTATGATCAGACGCTTACTAACTTGGCGTTGAAAAATTCTTATGATCAGTGTATATAAAGTGAACTCTTTAAAAAAAATACATGAAATCAATCTTAGGATTCACCCCACATTTTCAAAAGGTAGCTATCACACTTGCTACTAGTCCCATTCACAAGGAATTTAGAACTTGCCCTCTTTGTCTTTTTGGGCATCACTGTTGGTTTATTGACCCCATCATTTTTAAGGCTGTGCCTATACTCAACTGCCACTTGTTCAAATACTTCCACATCAAACATGTTCAGCTTTAGTTTTGGGTCCATTAAGTCCCTCACATATGCAAAGGGCAATTGGTCCCTTGGATTAAACCCTTCAAGTTCATTAAATAAGAGGCACGAGAATAAATTGGTTGCCACACTATGTTTCCTCAAGATTATTGCACTATCTGGTACATCTGCAAGAACCATGGGAAAAAAAACATAAACATAAAAGAAGGTTTTCCATAAAATTGGCTAGAAGAATCTCAATAAGACTAATTTGCAATAAAGTCAGACACAAACTATAAAGAATTTAGCTTTAGACAAGAATTATGCTTAAACTATGACTTCTTGGCCAGCTTGCGTGTATCTAAATTTATTCACGGGATACCAGCTTCCAAACAACAACATAACATGTACTAGGTAGATATGTTCATCAAGATTAGGATAGATAAAAATTAAGATCACCTAATATTTTTGTCTTTGCTGAAATTTAAACTTGAAAGCTCATAATTCTCAACCAGAAAGTCACACCCTAGCATGTTAAACTAATACATTTTTCTTTGTACAATGATCAAAATAACACACTTTTTATTAGGAATACCCTTAAAGAAGCAATCTAAATAAAAAATTCATCAAACTTTTTGGAATAGTGACTATGGGAGAGAGAAAAATTAGGTAAGAGCTTACAAGATGGCCCTACCATTAAACTACCTTCCAAAGAAAGAAAAGTGACAATAATCCAGTATATATATTCAAAAAATCATCGATGTTGAGATTTTGCTCATAATGTGACAATCCATTGTACCTCACTTATTTATAATAAATAAATAAATATACCTCAAACTTTTGTTTCTTTCTAGAAACTATTTGATGGGAGAGTTTAACACTAAAAATAATACTGCTACCTTGTTTCTTAAAAGTGGATTAACTATTTGAATATGTGAAACTGACTTTAATTAAATAAAAAATATGGATGTTCACCTAACAACAATATTTTATTTACTTTCCCTTTTTCTTGTTGGAGACGAGGAATGTGTCTTATTTAATGTTATATAACTCCAAGTATCACAGACAACTCATGCTTTTCCAAAAATATGCATTATTCAACGTCCCCACTTGTAATCCTCATTAAGAAATGCCGGACTTAGCTTGAACAATTAGTGCAAATTCGTACATCTTTACTAGCTAGAACAATTAGTGCAAATTCGTACATCTTTACTAGCTTGAACAATTAGTGCAATTTATGTGATTATATTTGACGGACACAATGTTTCAAAAAGAAAAAAAGTTTTCTTAAAATTTTATGACGTTAAACATAGTATTAAAATTCCATATGACTATGAAAACATGTTACTAAGGATAAATATGAAATTTGAAGTTGAACTGTTTCCAAACTAGAAAAGTATCATGTTTTTTAATATCTATCACAATAATAACGATATATTCAGTGTAATTCTACAAGTAAGAATCCGAGAAGGGTGGTGTGTATGTAATATTTGGAGTAGCTATCTCATTTCAACAACAAAAAAATACCTAGTGTAGTCTAACAAAGTGGGGTCTGAGGAGAATAGGATATATGTAGACCTTACCCTGACCTAAGAGGTGAAGAGATTGTTCATTATAGATCCTTGGCTCAAGGAATAACTATGCAAAGTAGTCCAGAAAAAAAATAACGAAAGTTAAAGCATAACAAACCGATATATTACGATAATCAAAGTATAAGAATCAACATATAATAACAAAAATCGAAGGACAAGAAACTACGAGATGATTACCTGAAGGGTAAGGCTTTTCTGGAGACCATGGTTGCAGGCCATTGTCACAATATGTTTCCATTTGTTTCATCAATCCATCAACATCCCACCATTTCTTCCATCTTGCAGTTGCCATGGCTTCTTCCATTGTATGGACATAAAAAGGATGTCTTGAAATAGCCATATCAACATCTTCCATAACAACAAGTGAGTGAATCAACAAGAATGGATCAACAACTAGCTGTATTTTGGCATCTATCCAAATGCTATATTTAGAATTTGGGAAAAGCCTATGAACTAAATATTTGGGAATAACTCCATTCATTGCTGAATTCTCATACAAATTTTCTTTTTCAACCTTCACAATTCTCCACACTCCCACTGAATTCTCCTCTGATGATGTTGTTGAAATTAAGTTGTGATATTGAAGTCCCTTGCGTGTCACATCATCAACAAACATGTAAAAGCATACTGAGTAGGGTGTATCTTTACCAAGTCCCTTTGGTTGCCTGATTTTGTCATGATCATTGAATATTGCTGAAATAACCACTATTCCCTTGCAATTTTCCATGGAAATCCTATCTGAAATTTTTTCAAAAATACAAATTAAAAACATTCAAAATAACACCTCCAAGTTTTGCCTCTTTGGTCTAGTAGTAAGAGCGCATCATGTGATATGTGGATTGACACACATCACTAGTTCAAATACCATCGTAAATGAAAGTGTCGTATATATTTAAGTAGAGAGAGGTAGAGGGACGAATTGTTATCAGCTGATCCTCGAAACATCTCCAAGATTCATTTTTTTTCATTAGTAATTATATAATGGTGATATTATTCCAGCATAGTAGTAAGAATTTATATCTTCAACAGCCACAATCAGAATTCACAAAAGGGAAAAAAAAATGTAGATAAAAAATTGCAAATCTTGTGTAATTGAGTATACAGATCACGAACCAAATTTAGTGATAGGAAAACGTTTGAAGAATCCACAAGGAACTTCAATTCCATCATGACGACGATGATCAAAATAAGAAAACCTCTTTTTGATACTGAAATTCCCACCAAAACTATCAGCATTCCCCTGAATATACCTCAAGTTTCGCGAACCAAGAAACGTAGAATTCTCACTGAATTCATTCATTTCCTTCAAAGCATTCCAATAATCTAACCAAAAAAGAATCACATTACTCAAAACAACAAAAAGATGATGAACGAATTCGAAAATGATAATTTAATTTTATAAATACCTGAGAAATAAACAGGGGAATTACAAGACGAACGAAAAGTAGGAAGGGCATGTTTATGTTCACCATAAGAAGAATTGTAAAGGAATAGAGGTGTTTGGATAGGATCATTAGGGGAATATCTGAATAGACAATTTGTTGGAGAAATAAAAGAAGTGTAAAGAACTAAAAAGAGAGAGGTGAAAAGGTAGATAACAGAAATGCAGAGAAGTTTTGAGTAGCAGAAGAGTGGTTTTGATGATGTAGCCCTGATCCCCATTTACCTTTTCTTCGTAACAGAAAAACTATCTCATACATCTTCTATTGTTATCATCGTATGAAAATTACTTGTATTTTTTTATTTTTGTCTTTTTCTCAACCAATTGTTATCTCATTTATATTAGACGGTGACTTCTTTTATCATCCAATAACCAATATATATGTATGAAATAAATAAACTAATACTTATATGTCCCTAATTATTTGTCCACTTATTTTACTCCTATTAAATATGAAATTACATAAGAAAACTTAAGATTTTCAAGAAGTTTTACTTTAATTCAAAGTAAATAATTGAGGATATAATATATATAAAAAATATTGTCCTTTTTGATTTGTCAAAATGAACAAGTAATTAAGAACAACTAAAAAAGAAAAAAATGGACAAGTAATTAGGGATAGATAGAATGGTCAATATCAAATTGGTAGGACACTTTGGCTACATCAAAACATAATTAGAGATGGAAATTTTAGAAAGACCAAATTCATAGACAATCTCTTTAATTAGTCATCAACTTTTATTTTGACACTTCATTTTAATTGTGTTTCATTTTAACCCTTCGTTTTTATTTTTGACGTCATTTAAAAACAAAAAATATTATTTAGTATAAGCTATTCATAGCATTTTGATAAAACTAAAAAAGGTCCGACATATTCAATTTTATAATATTGCGTATTTTTTTTTCGTTATTTCGATTTAACTCAAATATTCACTTTCTAATTTTTAGTTCAGCTTCAATACAGGCTAATCATTTGGAGTTTCGAAATAAAAATTGATGACAAGTCAGAGGGATTGTATATATATTTGGCAAAAAAAACATATTTGACTACATTAATTTTATTTTAATTGATAAAAAGAGTTTAAAAACAAAGTATTTTCCACTTTATATTAATTAAAGGATTTCAAAATTAAAAAAATAGATTCCTTCAAAATAATATTTTATTAGAAAAGTGAATATATACACGGTGCTTCTGATAAACCCGTAAGAGTACGTAGTTGATTTCCATGTCAGTGCCTTCTCAGGTCTAATTCAATTTATACTTCCTGTATAATTCGTATGATATTATACACATACAGGACGGCAAATTTCATTGAGGGTTCCCAAAAAAAGGTATGATATATACTATTAGAATAATGTAGATTACCTGCGCATTTTACTTGGGGATTATTTCTGCAGAAATTTCCTACCAATTTTTATGCAGAAATACAAAATTCCTAAATTGTAGATTTTTTTATATGCGAAAAATAGTTTCCCAGAAAAATTGATGGGTAAATTTGACGTTATTTTCGCAAAATTGTTAACTGGGGAATTATTTGGGGCAAATAATTTGCAAGTAGCATTTTCATAGGTAAATTCGCAAGTAATGAAAAAAGGGATTTATTTATCTCCTAGCAAGAAAATTCCTAGATAAACTTATTTGCAAATTTAACTAGAAATAATTACTTGGGAATTTATCTAGAAATATTATTTTTTATGTGGAGCTGGGGATTCATGTTCCATGAATTTACTTGGGAATTTTCTTACTTGAAGAATTACTTGAAGAATTACTAGGGGATTTTGTTATTGTAAATTTGATTTGATATTTTTTAGGGATTTACTTGGAAATATGCAAACTTGAATGTTTTTTATATAATTTAATTGGAGTTTTTTTTTATTGAAATCTACGGATATAGAATTAGGAGTCCAGGAGGAATATTTTCTTAAAAATATATATACAAAAATTAAAAATCATAAAATATAAAAAGGACAAATGAAACTACAATGAAATTTATTGTTAAATAATTACTCTATTTTTAGGTTTAATAAATTATTATGAATAATATCAATCTAATAAGGTGTTGAAACATTATCATAAATTTTAGGATGAATATTTTTAACTTATATATAATTAATATTTAATCTCACTAGACATCATTTTTTATTTTTTTTATTTGAAAGAAAAAAAGAACTAAAATTATATGGCCAGTTATCTATCTATATATAAAAGGAGAAATGATACATGTCAACACCATAAATTTTCAGAATTTTAAATAATTAATAATCAATAATTAAATAAATAAATATACACACATGTCAATAATTAGAATTTGAATGACACATGTCTACACCACAAATTTTTAAAATTTTAAAATTTAACTAATTTTAAATAGTCAATAATTAAATAAATAAATATAGACACATGTCAATAATTACAATTAGACACATTTATTAGACCCAATTAACTCTACGGTAGTTACACAAAATTTTAAATAAAATTAATCAATAATTAATTAAATATATAGACACATGTCAAAACTTATATTTAGACCCATTTAATTCTACGGTAACTATATATAATTTTAAATAATCAATAATAAATCTATTTTCTATTTATATATATTATTTCTATATAAAAGAAAAAGATAAAATGACACATGTCATTACCACAATTTTTTAGAATTTTAAATTTTAAATCATTTTAAATAATCAGTAATAAATAATTATTTAAATAATTACAATTGGATAAATTCTACGGTAGTTACAAAACAATGTAAATAAACAAAAAAAAATTATAAATAATTAATTACAAATTGATAGATTCTACGGTAGTCTATCTATATATAAAAGGAGAAGAAAAAATGACACATGTCATTACCACAATTTTTAAATTTTTAAATTTTAAATCATTTTAAATAATTAGTAATAAATAATTATTTAAATAATTACAATTGGATAGATTCTACGATAGTTACACAACTGTAAATAAACAAAAAAAATCTATATATAAAAGGAGAAGAAAAAATGACATATGTCATTATCACAATTTTTAAAATTTTAAATTTTAAATTATTTTAAATAATCAGTAATAAATAATTATTTAAGTAATTACAATTGGATAGATTCTACGGTAGTTACACAACAATGTAAATAAACAATTTATTTTATATAAATAATTAATTACAAATTGATAGATTCTACGGTAGTTACACAATATATTTTAAATAAACAAAAACAGATTATTATTTTACTATTACATCTTCTATCTACAAATACATAATTTAATTACAAAAGCTTAAATTTTAAATGAATATATACAAAAGATTCTCTTGTAATATCATATGTTATAAACCATTTAATCAAGAGAGATGATGAGTATCGCCTGTAACATCATATACTATAAATTCTACGGTAGTTACATAACATTGTAAATAAACAAAAATAAATATTATTTATCTATTACATCATCTATCTAATGAGTATTGCATGTAACATCATATATTATAAATTCTAAGGTAGTTACACGACATTGTAAATAAACAAAAATAAATTATTATTTAACTATTACATCATCTATCTACAAATATATTATTTTAATTACAAAAGCATAAATTTTAAATTAATATATACAAAAATATTCACCTGTAACATCATATGTAATAAATCATTTAATAAATATAGATGATGAGTATAGCCTGTAACTATCATATGTTATAAATCCTTTATTCAAGATAGATGATAAGTATATATAATACGTAAGAAGTCTTAATATTTCATTATTTTGTATTTAAAATTTATACCAAACAATAAATATATTTTTACATAAAAATACAAGCAGTTTTATAACTTCTCAATAACCATCCAATAAACAAGGAAACTTAAACTACAATTATTCACTGCATCTTGAAATTCCCATACTATATATAGATATCTTTCAGAAATAACTTTACATACCTTTACATTGTTTGACGATTGTTCTGAGATATTCAATAATATACATGGCTTTGCAATTTCACACAATCTTAGAAATTACATCCAAATCAATGCACTGGAACTTGAAAGTTTGTGTTATTCGATTGTGGATAGTTCCTGACAAATTAAAATTAGAAATACCTTACTCTTTGGAGATGATTTTACAGGACGAAAAGGTACTACTCATACAAATAGTTTTTATATACTCGATATAAATTATCATAAAACAATATTTTGTTTTATTTCAGAACGATTGTATTCATGCATCACTTGAAAGTCTGTAATTAAGCATTTCAGAGAAATTCTATATGAACTTGATGTTTTTCGGATGAATTACTTTGTGGTTGCCCCAAACATCATGAAATTTAAGACAACGACACACAAACACAAGCTTAACTTCACTTTGACTACAAATGTTAAGGAAATTTAAGATCCTTCTTTTCACATAGATATATTCAATATCTGCACCTTTGACCAATTGACAATTCATCACAATGTTGATGAGACAGAGCTTTTGGGTAATAATGATATGTTATTCCATTCATTAGCTTTTAAATTTACAAAATTACTAATGTATTTTCTTTGCAGATGTTGTTGGACATGTTGTTTCATATCAACTAATTCAACAGATACAGCAAGGAGATAACAATAGTTATTTTATCAATATTGTTCTAGAAGATGATAAGTAATTATTTTAAATTCAGTTTATTATTATATATATTCATTTATCATTTATATATTAAAATGTAATTAAATTCCATTAATACAGTAAAAATAGATTGTCAACAACATTATGGGGTGAACTTGCGGATCAAATACAACCACATTTGACGAAATTTGCAGATGAACCTTTGATTATGATTTGTCAATTAATGAAGGCACACAAATTTAGAGGTTTAAACATTGTAACTTCAGTAATACAATTTTAAAATACAAATTTATTTTGTATAAATATTTTGACATTGTATAATATCAATCATCAGAAAACTACTCAGTACGTAGTTGTTGGTATCAAACCAAAATCTGGATTAATCCTAATCTACCTTAGCCTAATGAATTCAAAGACAAGTTAGAAAATTATTTATTTTTGCTTAGGCATGTATCTTCAACATTTGCAAGGTAGTTAATTCTTCTTTTGTTTAATAATAATTCTAAATTATATCAAAACTATATGTTATGAATATTTTTGCAGATTGATTTCATCATGTGATTATTAATATGAGAGGCTCCCCCAGACAAGTTCTCAAAAACATCATTCTATTACTGATGAGTTGTCTAAAGGAGTTGTATCTTTTACATATCTTGTAACTATCATCTATCTTTATTTATATATATATATATTTATTTATTTTTTATTTATTTTTTTCTTCTATGAAGTGACTTATGTTTTTAAATTCATTAGTAACAGTAGGATCATTAAATTTAACTTTACTTCGTACAAAATGTAAACAACACACTATTAGCCGATTTGTACAAATACGTGAGTGCAATTTAAGAGACATACCTTATTCCCTTGTGTTAAAAAAGATGACACTTTGGCGAACAATATGGTGGATCCATCCCAATTTATGAGTTGATATATTCAGAATAGAAATCAGATATGCTAAAGCTCAAATTTGACAAAAAAAAAACACCTATAAGTATCTTAAGTATCCACACTTATAGTAAGTTCCAACAATATAAACTGCACCATTATGACGTCCAATAAATAAAACCCTGTTTTTTAAACTCACCAAACAACAAGCAATTCATCTTCATTCTTCCAATATATATGTTTAACAACCATTGAGTTCTGCTTCACAAACTTGATGTGCAACAACAAATCCTCCAGAGCCACCACTTACCACATAAATATCCTTATTTACCCCTTTGAAGGGTCATACAGGATGTTCAATATCAAGATTTTTATTTTTGATCTCATGGACAAGCTCTAAAAGAGCAATACTACTTGCCTTAACACATACAATTCTACTCATAGTTTCACAAAACCTGCTAGAACCAAATTTCTTAGGCTTCAGAAACTTTAACAGCAAAATCATGAAGTTGCTGAAGAAATTAAAGGTTAAATGGGTTTTCAAAATAGTATGCAACTTTTTCCAAAAGGGTCATGAATTATCTCAACATATTTCAAAAGCTTATTTTTAAACTATGTGATATGTGGAGTAAAGCTCCTCATAAACAACCTCCTGCTGAATTTCATTTATCTGGTAGATAAAGTATGATCAAAATAGCAAATTTCTCAATCCACTATCCCCGTTATCCCAAAAGGTACCAGACAGGATATTGTTAATGCAATTGTAAATTCATCATATTTATGGCCACATTGTCAACTATTGACTCTAACAAAGAATATGAGGTTGCAAAGCAATGCGAACGATACACGTTTGAAAGAATTGAGAGATTTTTCTAATTGGATCTTGAAAGTTGGGGATGGTAGCATTGAAAGTTCAATTGATGGAATAGACAAAGTTTTAATACCAAATGATCTTCTAATAAATGAGTATACTAATCCAATAGCATCTATTGTTGAAAGTACCTATCCAGATTTCATCACTAATTGCAATGATATCGAATACCTTCAACAAAGAGCCATTCTTGCTCCAACTCTTGATATGGTTGAATCGAATCAGTATATGATCACCCTTAATCATAATCCTGAGAAATCATATTTAAGATCTGATAAAATTTGCAGGTCTGATCATACTTATTCAGCTTTAGAGCATGTACACACCCCTGAATTTTTGAACAATATTAAATGTTCTAGCGTTCCAAATCATTCAATCACTTCAAAGGTTGGGGTTCCAATGATGTTACTAAGAAATATTGATCAGTCAGCAGGATTATGTAATGGAATTAGATTGATTGTTACTAAACATGGAAATCAAGTAATTGAAGCAAAGGTTTTATCTGGACAGATGATTGGCCAGAAGATGTTTATTCCAAGAATGACTTTAACACCTTCAGATTCAAGAATTCCTTTTAAGTTTCAAAGAAGACAGTTTCCTATAACTATATCATTTACTATGACAATCAATAAGAGTCAAGGACAATCTTTATCCTATGTGGGCTTATTTCTGAAGATGCCATTGTTTACGCATGGATAATTTTATATTGCTCTTTTCAGAGTGACAAATAGAACGGGATTAAAAATACTTACTTACGATGAAGATGGGCAAATAAGTAATGAAGCCACAAATGTAGTATATAAAGAATTATTCCAAAATCTAATTTGACATACACTGCATTTTTTAATTTTATATATATACTAGATTTTTTGTTGTGTTTGTTACAATAACTATTATATTTGTTTTAGATTTCAATACTTATGTATTTTAACTTATTAAGTTAACATTAAGCACATACACATTAATAAAATAACAACAACAAAGAAAGTCCAAATTACTTTGAAATATGCAATAGTAGATATGTACTACCCTTAAGTAGCTCACTATAATCACTGATATTTTCCATCAATACACTAGCAGATAAAATTTCTTCCATAATCAACTTCTCCGCCATCTACAAAACACTTATTACAAAGCATATATGAAAACATTAATACTACTACTATCAGATAGTTTTATCCATATTTAAAGTACAAATAAATTATAAGACTTCACACATTTTCAATCTTTACTAATTTTTAACTTTACTCATTCTCAAAATAATAACAGTGACAAGTTTCTAAATTATAAAGGTAATTTTTTCAAATTATGATTTGGAGAACAAGAAAATTATAACTTTTTCTGATAATATATACAAAAAAACTATGTCAATAGCTTTTAATAACCTGTACAATGTGCAATATTGTGGATACATTACCAATTCTAAATCAACATATCCCTTAAACTCACAATTTAATAAATATTTAATTTCAATTACAATCAAATGCCTTCTACTTATCATATCTTTTTAACAACTTGTGCTTCTACTTATCAGATCTACTTTTTAAATTGACCTAACTATTTATAATAACAACCTTATATAATTATAGATAAAGCAGTTTTAAATATGAAATGAACTCTCATTTTTTTACTTACATAGCTAATCTAATTGCTTCAAAGTTCAAATAAACAATTCACATTAAAAATTGTCAAGTACAAGTTACTCCGGTTAGCTAGGAAAACTAAAACTGAGATTATCATATACGAAATCTCTGAATCTCCAAACAAAATATCAAAATTTGTATCAACATAAGCTTATTATAGCTTTGAAATAACATGCATTTACTACTTTATAATTTAAATTAAATTTAAACTATTAACCCATATCTTACCATCACAAATAGATCTGAAAGAGACATAACCTGATAAATCTCATAAAAATAAATCCAAAACAAGAACTACTTCATGCTAATATATTCTTCAATGGAAGTTCTCATTAAGAAGGATCAATATAAAAAATGTCAAAAATTTAACTCACCATTTCACAGAACATTGGATTTTTTACGGAACGATGCTAGATTTGAAAACAACTCCGATCAATTCTTTTATGCCATATCCATTAATCTTAACTTGCTTGAAGAAAGTCAATTTTATGCTATGTGATCATTTGCATGTTCAAATGTTGAAATTGTAAAATAAACTTTACCATAGTTGTCACACCCCGAGCCTACACCCTAGGAGAGACTGGCACTCGAAGACCATTGCTGGTCTCAAGCGAACACTTGACCTGACTTACTAACTTAGTGAAAGACTTTACTCATCACATACACATTTATGAAGTAACTAGAATGTTATAAAGGAACATTCAACTAGCCATTAAGGCAAACTCAAGTCTTTAACATATGAAATGAAAAGTAAAGACAACTGAATTAACTAACTGACTATCTGTCTGTCTATGAAGCCTCTAAACAACAGAGATGGATGTCGGGACAGACCCACGACATCCTAATAAACTAATACTAAAACTGAAAGCAATGAAAATGAGTCCTCTGAAATGCAAAGAGGCTCACCAAAAAACTCTGAACTGCTCACTGGATCAACGATACATCGGATGCCGATCCTAGTTACCTTTGTCTGCATCATAATAAGATGCAGGCCTATTGGTATCAGTACATTGAATGTACGAGTATACGAGTTGGAATGCTAAACACAACTTAAACTTGAAAAGAAACTGAAAGGAAACTGAAGAACTTACCTGTCTCAACTCAACTCAACATAACTGAACTCATTTCAATATAAAGTAGTTTTAAAACAAGTGTAATATAAAGAAAAATTGTTTAAAACATGATGTCAACTCTGGGAGTATGCAAAGATACACTAAAACTCTGAAATGTATGTAAAAATACAAATAACTGTGTATATAAGAATACAAATAACTTATGTGGGAGTTTCTCTAACCGACAACCATCACTTAAGAGCTATAGTGATGATACATCGTTCTTCCTCACGCTGCCAGTGCATCCTATACCTTGCCACATGTATAAGACCTGAACTACTAAGTGAATCCACTAGTCTATGCGAAAAAGATTCATCTACAAACTATGACCCTTTTCTATCCATGATGGCTACATGGTTTATGGGGGCTGTGGGTTCTTTGAACGCTCCCCCATATCGGTGCTCAATACTACTCCCAAAATATGATACTAGCTCTTTATGTTTAAAAAACATACTTCTTCTGTGATTTGAGATTATTGCTCAAAAACTTAGCTCAAAGGCTATCTTGGAAATCAAAGTTTCCCCTCTTGCTTCATTTAGAAAGCGATTTCTCTTTTCTGAAAACTAGCCCGAAGGCCCTTTGGAAATCGAGGTTTCCTTTCTTGTTTAAATGTGAAATTATTTTAAACCCTTTGGGAATACATAGTCCCCATATACTTTGAAATAAATGGACTTCAAACTTTACTCTTTACTCAACTTGAACTTTAAGTCTTAAAACAAGGTTAAAACATTTATAAAAGACTTTTGAAACTTTGAAGGACTTCCCTTAACTTGACTCTTGACTTTGATTTTAACTGCTCTTGACTTGACTCTTAACTGGTCCTTGAATTGAATTATGGATTCAAGGATTATAATTTGTGATTGGAAAGATCTCATGATGTTTAGGAATGATTTTAGATAGCTAAACATGAGAAAAGACCGAAAATCAATATTTAAGGGTGGGTCCACGACGCGGAGAAGCTTTTAAAATTTAGTTTCGAAAGTAACTTTTGAGGCAAAAGATTCCGTGACGGCTACGCGACGCGAAACAAAAATTCCCACTTCTGGGAACCAGCTACGCGACGCGCCCCCATCTTTTAATTTCGTTTGATGAAATTTTTTCTTCGATTTCAACTCTAAACCCCCTAAACTCCATGGGTTCCTTTCCCAAACACTTAGATTAAATGTTCAAAGTACATCAGATTCTACTCAAATCGAACCTAAAATCACGAATTTGTATCCAACAACGATTCAACGAAACAAGAATTTAATGGAACTTCAACAAACCCATCAAGAACTCAATTTCTAAGCTTTCAATAACTTAAATTCGCTGAAATAAATCATGATTGGCGCGTGATCGAATTAACCCAACGCTATGTGATCTCACATACCTTGTAGGGATTATCCCTGATGAAATCCACAAGCTAATCTCGACAAATCTTGAACAAATTTTGAACGTTCTTGCTTCCCTTTATCCTTTCTCTTTTCTCCAAGCCCTAGCGTGTAATTCACTTTTCTAAAACTGACTAAAATCAGATTTTACCCTAATTAAACTCCTAAAATGAATTAGAATAATTAGGAAAGGAAAATACTAAATTACCCTTCCAAATCCGGAGTAGACTTTCCTTAATCCAATAGCCCAACTTCCAAAGGGCATAACTTACTCATACGAACTCGTAATCGCGCAAACTCGGCGACATTGGATAGATCATTCCAAGAGCTTTCGAAACATATATGGAATTACACCTAACTCATTCTGAGCTAGGATTTATGGTCATTTGAAGTTGACCAAAAGCTCACTTTTTCTAACCTAAACAAATTTCCAGATTTCCAATTATTTCCAAAAATGACTATTTCCAATTCTTAGCTTCTTCCTAGCTATTTCAAATTGCGAGATGTTACAATATCTCCCCCTTGAGAACATTCGTCCTCGAATGAGATTACTCTTACTTGGCTAAGGGTGGTAACATCAAGTTCAAACACCCAACAAGCAAAGTAATTACAACATGCTAACTTATAATTTAAAGAGTACTAAGAAGAGAATTAGTACCTTGGTCTGCATTTTCTCCGGACTCAAAGAGATGTGGATATCTCTTTTTCATATCTTCCTCAGATTCCCAAGTAGTTTCCTCATCAAATTGGTTCCTCCAAAGAACTTTGACTGATGCTACCTCTTTTGTTCTCAACTTGCGAACTTGGAAAATCTAGAATCTGAACATGAATCTCCCATAAGACAAGCTATCCTTGATCCCAATATTTTCAGTTGGTATGATCAATGAAGGACCGCCCATGCATTTCTTCAACATGGAGATGTGAAACACCGGATGAACCGCGGCCAACTCTTGTGGTAGCTCCAACTCATAGGCTACTTTGCCAATCCTCTTGGATATTCGATAAGGTCTAATATACCGGGGAATAAGTTTCCCTTTCTTACCAAACCTCATAACACCCTTCATGGGTGAAACTTTTAGATATTCCCAATCATCTACTTCGAACTCTAACGCTCTTTTCCTAACATCAGTGTAGGATTTCTGACGACTCTATGTCGTTTTCAGCCTCTCTTAAATCACTTTCACCTTCTCCATACCTTGATGGACTAAATCTGGTCCTATCAACCCTGCTTCACCAACTTCAAACCATCTAATAGGAGATCTGCATCTTCTCCCATAAAGAGCTTCATATGGAGCTATTTGGATGCTGGAGTGGTAACTATTATTGTATGCAAATTCAATAAGGGGCAGGTGATCATCCCAATTACCTTTGAAATTGATCACACATGCCCTCAACATATCTTCTAATGTCTGAATAGTGCGCTCTGCTTGCCCATCTGTCTAAGGATGAAAAACAGTACTTAAGTTCACCTTTGAACCCAAACCCTTCTGAAAAGATTTCCAGAATTGCATAGTAAATTGTGCACCTCTATCTGAAATAATGGAAACTGGGACTCCATGAAGTCTTACCACCTC